TGATTGAAGACAAGCAAACAACAAAATTCACTAGGTGAATACAATAACCTACTTTACACTTTTTTTAAAGAACTCATCCAACTCTAAGCAAAAACAGACATTACTCACTTGTACTTTGTTCTAATCAAAATCTTGCATTTTATTGCTGTTATTTCGCAAAATTAGTTTTACTTCTACTTTCACTTTCGAAGACCATGTTTACAGTTGTACACCATGTGTGCTCCCCAGATTAGATAGCCAGGGCTGATGTTGAAACATAAACTGAAAGTGCAAAACACTTTTCAGACAAGAAATCATGCGGCAGCAATAAATTTAAATATTTTAATGTCTAGTATGTTAAAGGAAATTATGATATCAGTGTTCATGATTTGTCAAACACCAGCACAAGTAACTCACCCTGCCTGGCCTTAAGCAGACAAGAAACTCAAATTTGTAGATCCATTCATATCGCTTGGGAGGTTTCTAGAAAAAGCTCTCCTGCACTCATGCAAAAAGATTTCTTCTGTCAGAAGTCTTTCCACATGTTTCTGGTTACCAGTGAAGGCCTAATAATTAATAATTTAGATTAACTTTAATAAGTTGGAGCAAAATCACTGATTTCCTCTTCCACTTGCTTTAAGCTATCTTCCTTCCCTTCTTCCTAGAAAATGTAAATGGCTCTTGCTATACGGTTCAGTATGACTCAGGCCATTATACTATGAGAATCCAAGAATAAAAGAAAAGAAAGGAAAAGTATGGTTCTGAGAAGGAATATTGACCTGGAAAATTTGTCAAAGATGGAAGATACTGAAAGGAAAATGTTTAATTGTAGACATTAACATCTGTGTAAACAACAGAGGGATCCAGTACTGTGACCCTAGGAGATAATTCTTGTATTTCATATGGTAATAGACTGAAGAGGCTAAGAAGATGATAAGGTTTTTTACATATTTTTATTTTGTTTAGAAAACTTTGAACTTAGAAAACATTGAACTGCCACTTGGAGTTAAGGAGAAGCAGGAACTGAGAAAAAAGGAATAGTAAAGAAAAAAGACAAACTCTGGAAATTTCAGCTAAATGACTCTTTGCATAACACTATTTTAAAAAGTAAGTACAAAATTTACAATTTTCCTTAATCTCTCAGCAACTGCAGTTGGGAAACACTGTACGTCAAAACCCCATACCACCTTACCTTAGATATTTAAGTGCTTAAATTGGGAAAGGCAGATTGGGACCCCAGCACTCAGGGTCAGGACACCTCCATTTCTCCACTTATTGCTAAAGAGCTTCTGAGAGGCGACAGGTAGGAAAGATGAGTGCTAATATCTTTACAAACAATTCTATGGGTGAAGGAATGGGTGTTAACGTCTTAGAAATGAGTTTTAATACGTCTACTGACTTCAAGGGGAAGGTTTGTTAGAGATCCCAGACAGCTCCTGAAACAGGCAAGGGTCCGCGCAAGCCTCAACTTCCGAAATTTGGGGTAAAATGACAGTTTCAAGGGGGAATATGTGGATGTGGAGGTGGCCCTGGAAGGCTGTACTTTCCTAGTACCTCAGCTGGTGGGAGAAGGAAGAAGGCAACACGCAGCCGGGAGTTTAGGATAAAAGAAGGCCGCATCCTCTAAAACCTCGAGAGAGAAACCCCGCGGGCGTGTGCCCGGGTGGACTCTCTGCCATCACGCGAATAGAGTTGCAGGACTCCTCTGTCTTCTTTATGGACGCTGGCTTTTCATAGCGTGATTTTCCGTACACGCCTGAGCCCACGGCAGGAAAGCAGCCCCTCCCCGGGCTGAGCATAGGGACGATGCTCCGTCTGCAGGGATGGGGAGAATGCTCACCTGGCGGACAGGTAGGCGCCGTCCATACAGGTTCTACTAAATTCTCCACTGGGAAACATAGAAACAAACGAACCAGCAAACAAGCAAACAAAAAAGACAACACCCGCCCCCTCCCCCAGTTCACCAATTACTATTTAAACATTGTCACACGTTTCCACAACACTACGAAGAAGACATTTTGGAGGACTTGAACAGATGGCATTTAAGGTCGTTTTGCGGGTGAATGGCCGCTGCCCCCGCTTCACACCGCCTGTACGAAGTGTGTTCACTACCCTGAGCTGCCCGCGGTGCTCCAGCGCATCAGACCCCGAGGCCGGATCCCACTCCGCCTCCGCCAAGCAGATTCTTTGGGATCGGCAGGGAATGGGTTAAACTACGAGCCGCGGCGCCTGGAACCCGGCGGACTGTTCCATTACCTCGAGAGGGGGGACCCGCATACACATTACTAATTATTCCCTACCAGATAATGTTAAGACTAGAAAAGGAAAGCTATAAGCAGTCATTATAAAGCATGAGAAGCAGGTCTGTGAGTTAAAACAGGAGAACCTGAGGTAAAATTCTGAGGGCACCTCCGTCTTTTCTCCTGCGTGGGCAAGTTGCGCTCAGCCCGGTCTGAGGGAGGAGGCGAGGCGGCACCCCGGTAGCGTGTTTGGGGCTCGCAGGGCGCTTTAGGAGTTTTAGATACACTTTAATTTCTCCTTTCAGCATGGCTAGAGTTTTCCTCTTCCCTGGCTGCTTTAAACAGGCCTTGTTTGCCTAAGCGGGACTGGGAGGAGAGGAGGAAGGGCGGGCAGGAGAGCGGTGACGGCAGGAGGGTTCTGAGGTGACAAAGGCGCGGGAAGCGGCCGGAGCTGCCCGGGTGCTGCTCGGTCAGGGGGTCAGTGGCTTTCTTTAGCTCAAATAATTATAGAATCGGTCGCGCCGAGCCCAGTGTAAGAGATGTGACAAACAGGTTTGGGAGTCCTGAGAACAAGCGCGAGTAACTCGGCCCGATTTCACTGGCAGTGCTGGAGAGCCGGGGCTGAGATCCGCCCCAGGCGGTTCGGGAACAGGCGGAAGGCGTCCTCAGACATCTGCTCTCACCAGTGTTTTGGAGTGTCTTAAAGACATTGTCCGTGTTCTTTAGGATCGACTTAATAATGTCAGAATAGAAAGGGAAAAAAGCGCCTTTTTTTTTTTACTATTAATGGTAAGAATTAAGAAAGTGAGGAACTGGGTTCTTAGGTCTGCACCCTGACAAAAGGAAACAGGGTGTTTCAAGTCTTATAAAGGAGCTGGTTTAAAAGCAGCTATTAGTGATAGAGAGCTTTCCATCATACTAAAAATATTTCTGAGGAATCATACGCATGGGCAGTGCTTCCCAGGCAACTATAAAATGCCAAGCCCACTTCCTTTGAGAAACTCTGAAACTTAAAAGTAGATCAAAACCACACAGTATTAACAAATTTGGAGCTTACAGTGAGGGAGTAGGAGGGGCATTGTCTTCGAGAAGCAAATTTAATTTTTGTAACATATTTTCTTCTGTATTATTTATAAGCAAATTTCTTGTCTGCCTAATTATTTTTCAGTATATATATATATATACTGTATATATATATATATATACAGTATCAGCTGAGCAGTATTGTTTCAGTAATACTGTGGTAACACAGTAGATGGAGAATCCACATATTTCAGAGAAATGTATGAGAGATTGAACTACATTATAACCTGGGTCCCTCGGGAGTGCAGCAGTGAAACAGCACCGGGAAGTGTGCTTTAATCATTATTCCTGCACTGGCTTTTTTTGTGGCTAAATGAGGATCTCAGTGCTATGGACTAGCAACCCAGAGTCTTTCCTGAGCTCTACATTGCCAAAAATAGTGTTTAATTTAAAAAGTTGTAGTATGTTTTTTGCAATCAAAGGGAAGTGTATATGCTAGAGAAAACCTATTGGATTAACAGTACTGTAAATTTTACCTTGGCACATAGGGAGTTCTAAGAGGTTATCTGTAAAATTTCTGCACGTGGAACCCCCCTCCCTCCCAAAATTTCTAGGGGCAATAATTAAATATTATTCTACAGCTACCTAAACATGTAGTTGTATTCCTATAGCCATGTTATTATAGCTCTATAACTTCCCAGAAATTACATATGACATTTTCTATTTCAGGCATTTTGACAGCAGTAAATAGCATTTTGAATGAAATTTTTGGGAACTGGACAGATTATATCTATTACATGTGAAGAACACCAGCCATAAAGAAGTCTCATATAGACATCTCTGAACTGCTTTTAGAAGAGGGTAAAGCTGGTAGAGGCCTGGTAAGAAAATCTTCATTTAAATATACACAATTTTATTGCTGGGAGGGAAGATTATTCAAGGAGTGAGAAGGATGAAGAAGGTGTAACTGCTAAAGTTAATCAGTTTGGTAGATCTTGAATGTTCAGCTGTTACATGGTTTTATACTAACTTCATAACAGCATGAAGGTCACAAGGATGATGTGTAACACAATGTCCATGGTAATGAAACCATGCCTTATACCCAGGCCATCAGACATGTATGTGACACTCCTTCCCCCGTAGGCCATGTTATATTTTGAGTTAATCATCAACAGTGAAGGAATACCAAGGATTTTTCTCACTTTTCAAGTTCTAGGTGGTATTTATAAGAGGATATAAAAAATAAGGGGATGATAAGGAAATAAAGCATACTTCCCAATAAAATTCAAATGGACTAGAAAAAAACACATTTTCCTTTATAAATCTAGTTTGTAAAACCAAACCAAAACATCCCTAAACATCTGTCTATCACTAATTTTTATATGATCAATTTTTCATGAAATTTTGTTCTTAAGGAAAGCTCAGATATGGATACTATCCCTACCTGGCATGCCCCTAGGCTGGACAGTTAACTTCAGTACTTCTGGAGTTATTGAGGCAACATCCAAGTTCAGCAATATGCAAAGTTACTCGCAGACAATCATAAACACAGCAGAATATTCACATTTTAAATTTTAAAAAAATTGCCCTCACTAGTATAAATGATATTTGGTGTGAAAAAATTTAGAAAAGGAAAGATCATAATTTTAGGTCTGCACATATATAACAATTATTGTGACAGTTTTTTCATGCAAGTGCTCTTTGTGCTATTCTACAATTCAAACAGAAATTTATAGCATGGCTTTCACAAATAATCTCTTTGCCAGCAAATTATTCCTTATTTGACTGAACTTTTTATCCAAACATTATTCAATCGCAAATTACTTTTCTACACTATTAAAATGGCATTCCCACCAAAGCTGGTTTTTCATTTACTTTCTACTCAGAGTGCATTCTTCTTTGGGCATTTGGGTATTCTGTAAGCATGATGTATAAGAAAAAAATAAACCCAGTAAGATAATTTGTTATAGAGATAGACAGAGATTTATAGACTCTATCTATATAGATATAGATAGAAACATCCTCTTTTTAAGACAGTGATTCTTTAAGTGAAGCAGATAGAGGTTCACATAATGGATTATTTTGCCAATGAAGAAAAATCAAAATAGGAAAATAAAGTAAGGACTTTTATATGCTGCCTCTAACCTTTGGGAGCAAGTAAGAAGGAAACAATCCAAAAGGATAGGGAAAACACAGCCTAATGGCAAAGAAAAGATAAACATTGCCCAAGGAAATGCAGGAGGAGAAAAGCACTTTAAGCAGAGGAGAGTAATCACTAGTGTAGCCTGGAATAAACAAAAGGCTTTCTTAAGTCTGGAAAAGAGGGGAAACAGCAATGGAAGGTAAGAAAGTAATGAGTAAGTTTAGGAAAAAGTCTAGTGAATGAAAGTATATAAAGTATTTTGTGGCATGTCTGCACATATTTTCCTGACAGGGAAATGCATAGTTTGAAAGCTGTTGGGTTATTGTAATTTATGCATCTATTTAGAAAGCAACTGTCATTAAAATTGGCAGTGTATTCTTACTTAATTTGACTTGGTTAGTGTAGTATCTTTGGTCAGAAAAAAGAGATGGCATCAGATGCTTTGATGCACTCTGTTTATAAAGATTGTGTGTACATTCTTTTCCTCTGAAACCATGTGAATGTTTCACTCAAAGTCTCAGCTCCTTCTTGGTCGATAGTCATCTTGAACCTCTCTTGCTCTGCTTTTCTTACAGCTGCATTTCCAGTGATTTCTCAGGCCTGTGTATGGGTATCTGTGTCTTCTCTGCATCTGTTTCTAAGGCATTTTACATCTCTTTTTCTCACACATGCCTATCCTCAAATATCCAACAAAACATGTGCCAACCACATGTGTCTTTGTTTTCGGTGGTGACATGCACCCATATTCTTGTGGAAACTGGTTCTTTTTTTTTTTTTTTAGAAAGTTAAACTACTTCTTACAGTGATTTTGAAGAGCACTGCCTATGACAATTAGCTGTAATGCATTTTATCTAACAGCAATTTTATGCATGGCAGACCATGTTAATAAATTGAATCCAGCATGGAAAACAATACTAGCAGTAGCACAGGTATAGAGATCACAGCCTGCTCAAGAGAGTCACTGTATTATTTTTCATATGACTACTTGCACTGGAATGCAATCAACAGTAGAAAAAGTTGGCAAACCTACAAAATGTACAATAATAATTCAGAACTACAAATTTACAATGCTGTGTACACTAGTGGTCTTTCATTATCGTCACACTTGTTAAATTATTTCCACTTAAACTATAAGCTTTAAGGAAACTGCTTATGCTTAGTGTGTTGTTTCTCCAACCATATACCTTTGAGACACAAATTTCCTATGGTGAATTCATCTTTTAATAGATGAATTATGTTTAAGAAACCTTAAGAAGTTGAATATGTATTTTAAAATCGTGGGAGGATAAATACAGAAATGTAAACATCAAAACCAGGAATTTAAATACATCATGGTCCAGAAAAGGATATTTTTTCATAAATAGATAATTTTGATCTGATTTTTAAGCTGCATCATCTAGCCAGAGACATATATTTGCATTTAATTTGGGTTTGTCCAGGTCAACAGCTCAATTTTCTGGACCACTTATTGTCCCTGTCTAAAGTTAAGGCAGAAATTTTAAAAAGGCTTTGTGCTTCAGAATGCACAGTATTGCAAGTTTGTGAGAAATTAAATAAGTGATAAATTTATACTGCTTTCTGGTTCACGAATGGAGCATCCACACATCTTCTAAAGTCCTGACAAAGTAGATGCAGTGCTATTCATCCCTGTGGCCATGCTGAGACGCAAATTTCCAGCACATGTCCAGCTACATTAAAAAAAAAAAAAAAAAAGTTATAAATGGAATATTCGGCATTCAGAAAATAACAGATGATGTTTTATTTATCCTTACTCCTTTTCTATTCTTATCTTAAAATCAATAAATTACACTTCAGAAGTAATTTTCATTACAAATTGATGTGGACAGCCATAACCCAAAAGAGTGCAAAAGTTACTTGTGCTTATTTCATTTTATTGCACTATATGTTTTCTCCTCCCAGTCCCACTGTAACATCCTTTTGTAAAGGTCACAGGATGTCTAAACCAAGAGGGACGTCTGCTACAGGTTAGAAGTCTGGTTTAGACACTGTGTAGGACTTTTTAAAATGTCTTCATATGAACAAATATTTCAACTGACAGCCAAATTTCAATGAACTTTCTTTTATCAGGTTTCTGAATAATTATAAGGTTATTAATTGCTTGAATAAAAAAATAATTAGAAATGTGAATGTGATCTATCCCTAGATGGGGAACTGCAGTTTCTTCTTACCTTCCTTTTGTCAAGTCACTTTGAGAAGATTGCTTTAGGCATGTCTCTAAAATGCAACATAAATGGAACATACATGGACATTGGAAATAATCTGTCTAAAAATTGCACATCTCTTCGAACAGGCCTTGGCACAGGCTCAAAGCATGCCAGCTTGCACTTTCCCAGACAATTCCTGTGCACAATTTAGACATTAGTGTTGGTCATAACCCTTTCTCAATGGGCAAAACACACATGTGACTATCCTGGATAAAACACGGAACATTTGGTAGCTGCAAGCTCCAATGCCAGAGAACAGTCCCAGCATGTTTAACCTGATATTCATATGTAGCCATTTCATGATTTCGCTGAGGATAATTAACACTTCTGAAGAATCAGAAAGTTCTCTCTTCCAAGGAAGCAGTTTTTAAAGGCCTGAGCCCAAGACACTTTTTTTAACATACGCTATATAGATAGGCATATCTCTGTTATAAATCTTCTTTTTCTGGCAAGTTCATTAAAAATGGAATGGCAAGGTATATTATGATATTCTTGACTTTTTTAATGCATACAAGTATGACTTTATGAATACAGAGCTGAATACAACAGCCCTTAAGGCCAATTTTTAACTTCAGTCCTTTGCCAGAAGATGAATGTCCACATTCACAGTTTACTTTAACATTCAAATTAAAGTACCAGAGTTTTGTCTTCTCATTTTTTCTCCATAGAAATATTACTGTACATTTTAATATATATGCCTGCCATAGAATTCATACTGTGTACAAACAGAAGCTCATTCTTAACATGGTAGAGAGTCACTTAAAATGAAAAAGTACCATTTAATTTAATATTAAATTCCTGTTAGTCAATTAAGCTAAATAATTAGAAGAAGGAAAAAATACTACCTCCATATGGCTTACCAGGAAAAAGAAATAAAAATCAGTAGTTTCCATGAAGTTGTAAACTTAAAGCAAGTAGCCATACAAATGTTTGACTCCTCTGGCTTCTTTGGCTTTTTATTTAACGTGTACCACTGTGAGTTTCATATTCAGATTGCTTACTTTTCACAGAATATCTCCCAGTCAATTTACAGTTACATGGTGTTATTATTTGTTCTGTGAACTAAAGGCAATGCAAAGAACATAACTTTGTATTACTTGTCATACAGTGTACATTATTACATTCTTCCTAATCACTGTGTGATCCAGCCTTAACACCAGATTCTAAATAGAGTACTTAAATTTAGGATGATAGCTACTGATTGTGTTACTGTATAGAGATAATAACTTTCCTTTTTATAGGAAAGTTCTGTCCAACTGAGAGGGTACATAAAATAAACAGTCTTAATTTAAAAAAGATTTTACTGACATGTCCTAATTATTTTAAAAATCTACCTGGCAATACATATACTGTAATATGGGTAATATACCTGTAATATACCTGTAATGTACCTGTAAATTACTAGGAGGTAAACAGAATGCACAGTGCTAGTGCATCACATAACTTAAAATGACAGGTACTTGAATGTTATACTGGCCCTTAAAGAGACAATAATGGTAAAAACCAATGCATTTTTCATTTATTCTACAGAAAAAAATCAAATTACAACAATCATATCTAAGAAAACATTGATGCCAGGTGTATTTTGTGTATTTTTACTCCAGTATTACATGGTGTCCATAATTTATGAAGCTGAATAACAATATGTAGCATTCAGGGAAGTTAACATCAGAGTGAGGAGGGCAAAAGAGGTCCCTTCTCTACTTTGAGCAATACTATCTGCATTTATAAAGCTTATTTCAGTACACAGCAGCAGCAGTTGTAAACAGCAGCAAGAGACATACTACAGCTTTCCATATATTTTGTGAAAATTGAGTGCTCTCTCCGTGAATATCTTCAATTCCTGCCTTTTGAATTAAGATTTACTTTGAAGAACAAAAAACGAGTCCGAAGTAACAGACTGGATAAATAGCTTAAAGTTATGGGAACTCAGTAATTTGTTTTGGGCAAAAGATGCATTTGCCCTGGACATCAAAGGGAGCAGGATTAGGTTCTAAAACTTTTACCCTGAAACTTGCAGTTCATTTTCTAAACTACATAGGTGTGGATTTGCCAGGGGAATTCAGAGAGCTCTGCCCTTCTCCACACTGCAGCCAGCTTTGTTCATGCAGTTTATGCTCCTTAGTGTGCTACAGTCATGGTTGCATGGCTGCATAGCTCCTCCCATAGAGATTAGGGCTATCCCCACCCCATGACTAAGGCCTGGAACAGAAATAAGGTTTAAAGGCTTTTGCAGCAGTTATCAGGTAATCTGAAATACTTGATTTATCACTTCTCTGGTCATTTCAGGCATAATGACATGAACCCTATGCATACTACAGTGCTTTTAGGAATATAGTGAACATCCATTCTGTAATAGATTGTTGTGAGTGAGCTTTTGAAGCAGAATACAAGGAACTTCTGGTCTCAATGCAGTCAAAGAACTTGATCTTTCATTTTTAAAAGTGGAATAAAAATATTTTATTTCCCTTAAGGAAAATAAAATCCTGATTTGCCCATGTGTGTTACATACCACCTTCTCTCTTAATGGTTTAAATTAGTTGTTCTCTTGTGCAGGTAATACAGCATAGTACTCAAGTAAAATAGCCATTTCTACAAGTTCTTTTAGTTGAGTGGTATTTTAAAAACATTAAATGGTCTAGTGATATTCTCATTGAAACCATAATCAAATAGGTGTTGTACCTGACCATAAAACCATAAAAAAACATATATGGCATTTGAAAATTAAAAATTCAATGTTCTCTATTTTATTTACATATTAATTCACCAACTGAGAAAAAAATAATTATTTAATAGGATTACTAAAATTACAGAAAGACTCCATCAACATGAATTGGTAACAATCACTTAGAAGTAGATTGAAATAGTATTCCTGAGCTTTGTAATTTTAGAATTACATTTTCCTGGAAATTCATAGATGTGTAAGTACACATATGTATGCTATATGAACTCCAGATAGGTAGTTCCTTAAGTTATATTTTATTTCCAAGAGAACGTAAACAGTTTTCCCCTTGAGTTACAGAGTTGCAATGTATTAAATTAAGTGCGAAGACTTAAGGACACACTTCATTTGCAACACCAATTATTTACCTTTATTTTGAATTGATAACTTCAAGTTATAAATGCATAAACGATTATAGGATTGGGACCCTTTATATTGACTTGGAAGAAAGATCTGTAATATATTTTTTTCAGAGCCTAGTTTACTCTGTTAATACGTGCCATTAGAATAATAGTATTTCCACTACTGAATTACCGTGTTTTCCAGTGCCGTCTTCACTTCTCTACTTTTAAACAAAAAAAACCAAAAAAAAACACTTATAAACCAAACTTTGATTCATCCAAAATTATGAATTTTGTAGTAGTTTAAGCATAAGAGAAGCATTTGAAGTCTAAATTAAAACCAGAGCACAATTCAAAAAATCCTAAGCATTGCAGAGATCAGGTGCACTGGTGTAAGATTCTATCCCTTTGTGCAAATAACATTTATCCAGAGCTGAAAGGGTGTGTTTATATGTCACAGGGTATTTGCAGCTGTGTCCAGCTGATTCCTGGAGTCGACAGACAAGGAGTGCTTCCTTTAGAAATGAAAGGATTTTTGTCCAAGTACTGAGCAGCAAACGACATTAAGTGAGTACTAAAAGACATAGTTACTTCATGGGATATAAATGCTTCTTCATTATTATCCTGTGTTATAATTATTCGGTTTTACCTGTAGAGAGGAACACCAGAAAGTCTTTCAGATTAGGACACGCTCTTTCTCCAAACACTCCTTCACAACACACAAAATATTTACAGTAAATATAGTGGCGGTGGAGCCTCAGCCTCCAGCGAAGGACATTTCACCTGAACATCAGCATTTTCCCCGGTGCTCGTCCAAAAAGCCCGTTTTTGAAAGCCACTCCCTTTTCGTATGTCCATCTCTGGAAATCCCTCGCCCCGGCAATGCTTTGAGCAGCGGGTGTTTCGGTTCCTGCGGCGCGGCCTCTCACATCCACATAGAAAGGGCATGAGCGGCGACAGTAACTCCAGCGAGTGTCCCACCTCCAGGGGCTGCCGCCTCTGAGGGTTCAGTTTAAGAGCCCTTTCCAGGTCTGCCTCCTGCGAGGCAGCCTTTTGCAGTCCTCCTCCACCATGCTTAGGCAGGACAGAAAAATAAACACCAAAACGTGTATTTTTTTCCAAGAGAATCCCTTCTTCGCAAATCCTCAGCGGAGGCTTAAGCATAAACTTCGGTCTCGTTCCGCGCACCAAAAGGCCGGGAAGAGGGAGAAAATTTTTAAAAAGGGGGAAAAAAGAGAAGGTCGTGCAGCAGGGAGAGGAGCTACGCAGGGGAGGCTCTGCTGGGAGAGGCGAGGCAAGGGAGCCCCTCCAGCTGCAGCGGCGGAAGCGGCGCTGGTGGAGCGAGGGAGCGTTCGGGCGAGGAGGAGGCAGCGGAGGGAAGGGGGAGGTTGCTGGTGTTTGGCGCCGGTGGAGGGAGTCATTCCTGCCGCTGCACTTCCGGTCGGCATTTTGTTCTGAGAGGGAGCGAGAGAGACACACACAGGATCCTTCCCCCTCCTCCTCCTCCTCCTCGCCCTTCTCTCCCTCTGCCCCCCCGCTCGGTACCGACTCACCGTGCCCAGGCCGCCCCTCCCCGCCCTCCTGCGCTCGCACTCTCGGAGGGAGCGGCGGCGGCGGCGGCCCCTTGGCAGCGCTGCCCCTGGGCCACCCTCCGCTCTCCCCGGCTCGGAGCGCGGCTCGGAACCGGTTCGGCGCGGCGCGGCCCGACCCGTGTTGATGTTGTGAAGCAGGCTCGGGGGGAAGGGATTTGCCTCGGCCGCACACCCCCCGGCTCTACATGTTCGCTGCACTGAGGAGGAGACGGAAGAGGAGCCAGCCCCCCTCCCGGCCCGGATTATTGTTGTTATATTATCTCCCCTCCTCCTCCTGCTCCGCGGCGGCGGCGGCGGCCCAGCGGCGGCGGCGGCTCCTCTGAGGAGGGAGGGGGGCGGATTTCTCTCCCCCTCTCTCGGATTCTCGTTGGATTCAGACGCCGATTTGCTCAGGTAATCCCCCCTCCTTGTCTCCCCTTCCCCTCCCTGCCCTCGCCAGCAGCGGGCCGGGCCTCTCAGCCCAGCGGCCCAGCACTGCCGGGAGCAGAGGGGATTAGCTGTTATCCGGGGTAGAGGGGTGTAAGTGGCAACCGGAGGTGTTTATTTCGCGCCCCCCTTCCTGCTCGGTCGGGTTTGGCGGAGGAGGTTGGTTCGTGCCGGGCTGCCGGGAGGCCCAGGCCCGGCGGAGGGCGCAGGCCCGCCGGCCAGCGCCTTTACTCCAGCTCGGGGATTAGAAAGGCGAAGCGGCTGCTCAGTGACAGGCCTCAACCCGAAAAGAGCAGGAGGAGGAGGAGGAAACAATACATTTAGTCGCAAATGTGCACTGATCCTTTCCCATATTTACAACTTCACCTAGGGCAAGGAAGGGTCCCAGAGCAGACAGCCCTCTGAAGTGGGGCAGAAGTGGAGGCATAGGGGAGGAGAGACAATGTAAATACTCAGGAACAAAAATGCCACTTGTCTTTGCTATTATCTTGTTCTTCTAACCAAGTGTGTTCTGAACATTCAAAAGTTTAAATGCTTTTGGTTTTATAATTTGCAGATGTTTCATTTCTAAATAACATTATTGATTAGTATGTTAATGACTTAGTATATTTATAGCATAAAATAGTGCTTGAAGGATGATTGACACAACACGAACACCTGCAGACCCAAGAAATACAGATAGCATAGCATATTATATCCAGTATTCCGCACAATTTTGGTGTCTGTGTCCTGTATACGCTACAGGAATATATGGTAAAGGAAGAAATACCATTTTCTGTTCCTAGCAAACGGAAAACAGGCAAGGGATCGTGTGTAAAGTGCTGTGTTTGTGACATTTAAGGGACTAAGGTGAGGATGAGATCTTAACCAAAGTACTTGAGAGTCACATCTAAATTTATTTATGCGAAGTGTGAGGAATGCTTAAAAAGTGTCATCTTTTCTTGTCAGGCTATATCACTTTGAGATCCTGAGGTTGTTATTGGCTGTTTGTGTCCATGATGTTTGAATATGTAATTAGGTGTAATTTTTACAGGTCAACTGTGTTTTGAAAATGACTGTTTATTAGTCTCAGGTCTTTATAAATAAATAGTAGCTGATTTACAATAAAGTAAATCTTGTACTTATAAATGGTAGAGTTGTAAATGTTGCTAAAAACTCAGGCACATTTAAACAAACACCCTGTGAACTAATAAAAATGCTTCTACAGAAATTACATAGCTGCAGGAAATTTTAAGATACAAAGTTTTCATCCTTGTAGAGAGGAATTTTGTTAGTGGCAAATGATTGTTGATATTACATAATGTGTTACATTTTCAGCAGGATTTTTAGTTGTTCAGGTAGATTTGCTGTTATAATACATGGTTACTGTATCTAATAGAGTGACTTTCTGATGCATTGTGTTCAGAGTCTTGTAAATGAAACTCTGCTATCGTGCCTCCTGCGTGCCCTGATACATGTTTAAAAGGGTGAAGTTAATATAGCTGTCACGTAGAAGGCGTGTTTTTAATGCTGTAAATCCGTGTAGTAGTCAGTAGCGTGTCCGTGATTTGTATTGGTCAGGGAGCAGTTTGAATTTTAAAAAGCCAGAAGATCCTGCTGAGCCCCAATCCCGGCCTCCCTTCCTCCCACTAATCTCCCATTCCTGTCTTTGTGCTGCCTGGTCCTGTTAGACACTGTTTGCAACAGGGCCTCAGGCCTACGTGCGTGGAGAGGAACCATTTACAGTTCGAAAAAGCAGCTTTTTATTTTTAAACTTTGTGAAAAGCAGAGGGAGCCACTAGTCGTCTCTAACTGTCCCCACCTCGGTGTGTAACAGCGGAATTGCTGTTTGCTTTTGCCCCGTAGTGTGCGTGGAGACCGAGTGTAACTCTGTTTCGCAGGAAAGAAAGGACTGTGCAGAAGTAGTTGTAGTTCTTGGGTAGTTTTCATCATCAGGAAGCGACATTACAGCCCTAGCATTTCTTGCGTCTGTGTTTCAGGCAGCTGCCGTTCTAAGAAGAATGTGTTTGTTAAGCTAACAGTAGTGAACTTTTCTGACTGATTTTTCATTTAAGGAGGGTTGCTTTAAATATTCTCGATATGAGCAGGAAATGAGCTACTGTAGTTACACAGTTCCTGTCAAGTTTATCTTGCCAGGGTTGTGTGGTTGTGTTTACAGCACCCTTTTTTTTTTCTTTTTATCTTTTTTTTTTTTTTTAACCGGAACGGATGCACTTTTCTGGAATGAAGAGTAGTTGTATTTATAAAGGGAAATATAAGATGTCTATTTTTATTTGTAATTAGTTTTTTGGGTTTGTTGTTATGAGCCGTATGTGGTTAATCGTGACTTAGTTACTTGATCAGTTTATATAGTTTTACAGAAGTATTTAAAGTTGAGATATTTATAAGAGGATTTATTTTTGAGTTGCATGTTTTATCATATTTGAGAGTGTCTGTGTGCATGCATGATGCAGGCTTGTGGTACTTTCATACTACTTTTTCCCTGATGTTAAGAGCTTCTACTAAGTGTTTATCACAACAGCTAGCTGCATAAGGACAATGTATTTATTTTAGTGATGTTATGAAAATACAAAATTAATTATTCTCGAGAGGTTAGTTGTAACTATTATTTTATCAAAAAAGAGAAAAATGCTTCTTTCTACATTTTATTTTGTACTTTTTCCTGCCTTTTGCATTTTGAATTTACTTCCTCTACACAAGTTATTTTTTTCCTCTCAATTTCTTGAACATTTTACCTAAGGTTATTCCAACAAAAATCCCTTCCTGAAATCTTTAGCTGTTGATTAAAGCTGGTTTTATACTTTTTAAAAATCAAAACATAGAAACAGAAATGTCAGTAAAATAATATTTTTTTAAAATTTGTTTTAAAATGTTTAAGTTTTGACTTAGAAGCAAGAGACAGATCAGAGAAGCCAAATTATATACCTAAGCCCTTTTGAAAATCATTTTTCTACATAAGAGCACAGGTACCCCATTAAACCTTATGCTTGAGACTCCATATACATAAATGTTCATACAATTCTTCTTGCAGAATCAAGGCCATAGATAGTAATTTCCTTAGGAGAGAAACTTTTTGTTTGCTTGTGTTGTTTTGTTAATTTGTTTGTTTGTGATTATTAAGGTAATATAACTTTAATCCTAAATGTTTTGTGTATATAGTCCTCTACAATATAAATAAACAATATTTTAGATGATACTAGGTAAATAATGTGGATTGATTTAAGCTAAAGATCCTATTCCTATTTTTATATGTTCTGTGGCAACTGGACTTTCATGTCTATTATATTACAAAATGTTAAACTGATTATACCACATTTATGTTAACATTTCATAAAAATTGCACAAGACATATGAAACTTCTAGATAATTGCTGTAACTAGAGAGAAAAATATCTACTTTTATCCCGAATATCTAGATCTAGGAAAGAAATCAAGTCTTCAAATTCACAACTTTATAATTTCTAGAAAGTATGTTAGAGGAGTGCGTAATATTCATGAATGTGTGTAATTTGGATAACAACTATGGACATAGTTAATCAGAACAACATGAGTAGTTGTAGCTTTAGAATTCGTTGACTGGTAGGTGTGAGGTGGGTCTTCAGGTGTTAGGGTGGTTATTTAGTATCACAAAACACTAAGAATATTTAACATTGGAAAGAATGGCCATTTCAGTATCATACCACTTATTTTAGATCTTGTTTTTCATTTGCCTTTATTAGAAGTAATTCAGGTTAGGTTAGCTTCTGATTTTGAAACATCAGCAGTAATGAGCACTTTGTTGTAAAGAGATTTCTGCAAGGAAATGCTTGAAATTGGTTATACCTGTGTATTATTGCTAATAACTCTGTACAATAATGATCTCTTTTAATAACAAAAGTATTCTTGAAATTAAGAAAATAAGTGTTTGACAATTGCAAACTCCTTAATATAACTCATGTACATTTATATTTTTATTTCCTTTGTATTGCAAACATGCTTTTTAGTAGCTGATCCTGACCCTCAAAAAGTGTTTAAAAAGTGCTTTACATTGACATGTATGACACTCCATGAGTAAGGAAATTCAGTTTGAGGAGATTGTGCAGGAGCTGTGATTTGTGTTTCAGTTCTTGTCCCTTATGTTAACCATAGAAAATCTCCCCAGCAAAAGGAAGGGAAGAAAGGATTTTGGCCCATCTGTATGTGGAAACTAAAAGGGATTCCAGTCAGATTGAATATGGTTGTTAATACTGTATTTTAAGGTGATTACTTGGTCTGCACAAATAACTTCAAAAGAATGTAAATATCCAAGACCAGTTTTCATGTTAAGTCATAAAAAATTCTAGAAAAACTTTATTTTATGGCCTTTAGAATTTGTATCAGTTTTAAGTGTAAGTAATCAGAGATCTCATTCTTTTTATATGAGTAGATAATTAAATTTTTCATTTTATTGCTGGGGTTTGATTTGAAGTGCTCTGGTTGTTGTAGCAGCGTGTATGTGTAGACATGCAATGCGTTTTAGAGAAACAGTGTCAGAGAACCTAGGCTGCAAAATAAGGGAGTCCTGTAAGGAAACAGCCAAGTGAGGAGCTGGGCCTTTAACTGCCCGCAGTATTCAACCCTTCCCTTGCAGCCCTAGTTCAGTGCCTCATCCAGTGCATGTGAAATGCCAGCTGACCACTCTTATAACCTAGTTTATGTACTTATCATTCAGTGTGTACCCTGGTGCCTTATTACCTGCTGTGTACATCCCAGTCACTCAGGAAGGCTGAA